ATACAACAAAGACCTCATTCATATTTTGCCACCAAAAAACCATTTAAACAATTTCTGTGAAGAAGACAAGTCTAAATCTCCATCACATACGACAACTGATGTCTACAGAGAGTCAATATTCACAAATTTCTCAGATTACTCACTTAAATATTAAAAATATAAGATTTATTATTAGTATATATGTCATATTTAGTGGATAGTGTACCAAAGGACATATTTTCTTTAGAAATGAAAAAAGGCCATTAGACAAAAATATTCATCAACTCAAACACATGTAATGACTAAATATAACATATATAGTAATAAGAAATAATTTTGAATAAAATCTACTAATTCTAAAAAAAATGACTGTTTCAGATACAAAATATATAAAATAAAAATATCTAACCATTTCTGTGTCACAAACAGAATTTGAATCCTTTTCCATTAATGTCCCATCAGTATAAGAAGAGTCCTTATCCAATATCATGACAAAATCAGAAGAGTACTGACCAACAATAGGACCACAATCCATATTAAGTGACCAAATGATTTTCGACACTGACTAAAATCTTATTGCTGTGCACTAATTATATATATATATATATGTGTGTGTGTGTGTGTGAGAGAGAGAGAGATGGGGAAAAGATAATTGATATGTGATGTAAGATTCACAATTAGGTGTCTATATTATCAACATAAAATCCATATAAGGTAATGTTGAACAAAAATTAAAAAGGCTGACCAAAAAAAAAAAAAAAAATGTCGGAATGTAAGCAATTTTTCTTGTCTTGTTAAGCATGACAGAGCCAAAAAATGCTTGAAAGAAGAAAAGACTTTTGTTAATAGCATGGTAAGTGGGAGGTGGGCACAGTAGCATCCAGGTTTAATTTCCCATGTTCCACTCCTTGAATCAAACAGGAGCAATCCTTCCTATGGTTCCTCATTTCAAAAGAGGATATCCTTCCCATAAAAAAAAAAAACTTCCATCAGAACAGCTTCAGCATGTCAGAACATTCCAGATGGAATGTAGCATTTGCTCTGAATGTTTAACTAAGAATGCAGACTTTCAAAAGACTGCAAAATGTTTTCTTTCAGAATGTGAGCGATTATGGCTCTCCACAACTTCCCATGCTTCATAAGCAATCTTTGTCTCCTTGCTATCCCTCCCAGGTCCTTTTTTGTCATCTACTTACTAAAGCTCATGAGGTATTGTTCTCCTTTGTCCACCTTGCCTTCACTATGACCTTTGAGTATCAAATTCTCCAAGCCCTCTTTCCTCATGATGCATCCCAGAAATTTTAACTCTTTCTAGTTATAATTATTAAATGCTACCTCTATCCCATAATATCTGTTAGATTTGCATATTTTTTGTTTGATTGTAAACAACACTCATTAAAGTTTATGTTCTTATGTCTGAGCTACAACTTTTGTGTTGTTACCATTATAACGGGTTGTATGCTTCCAAGTATGACCATTTGCTATGGTGGCTCTTTAATCCCTTTTGCAAACACATGCTCAGGCACATTTGTGTTTGTCCAATTCCCACAGAATCAACCTGTGGTTCATACTTCAACTATGCTGAGCAGACATTAGTTACAGTTTCTGGGAGAGAAGGCATAATCTTGCATAACCACCAGTTTGAACAAAGACAACACTCAAAACCTTGATAACAACAATGAATTGCGATGTCATACAAGCAATAGTTCATTGGTAACATCCATAGAGTTCCATCTATTAAATTTCACTTAATGTTTGGTCAACCCAAGGTTTGGTTTTCAGGCACTTCCAAGCTATGTCACACAGTGTGATTGCAAGCCAGTATTATCAAGAAGTCATCTTCTGACAAATTGGCCAAAGTGAGATTTAAACCTGGGTCTCATGGTCAGAATGTTAACATACAAACTACCTGGCCACAAAACCTGACAGTTATTTTAAAATAATGTGAGTTGTCATAAGTAAAAATGTCAAGTTTCAAAATTGCACCTTTTATTTTAAATGAAAAATAAAAAGCATAATTGTTTGACTTTTCAACAGTTATAGAGTTTGAGAAATTAATAGTTGTAACTAAAATTTAATTTCAAAACTTAGCATATATAAATGTACATTTGAAAATGGCTTTTTTCTTTGATCACTGCAGTCATTAACGTGATGAGTGATAGAAAAATTATGAAACTGAATTGACCTTCGATAAGTATTGAACATGCTATCTAATTTAATAATTGATTGCTCTAGTGAAAATTTGAGCACTTTATTAGGAAAAAATCTGTTAAATTTTACATGTTAAATCATATCATTTTTACATATATTGCCAGTATTATTATATAAATAACAATAATAAAAAAATCTCTACATCACTTCTATACATTTAGAGATTCTAGAGAAAATGCAAAGTAGAATCTGCAATGTTATTGGGCCTGAGCTGGAATCTTGGCTTCAGTCACTTTCCCACTGCTGTAATGCATCTCTCCATGCCATTTTTACAAATATTTTCATGGTAATTATTCTGATGAACTTTCTTCTTTGGTATTTAGATTTAATGAATTTAAGTGTAGTACTAGATTGACAGCAACATATCATTTTACATTTGAAATGACTACATATAAATATACGTTCTATGCTAATGGTTTCTTCTTAAACTTCTTGTTTGCTAATCAAATTTGATCTTCAAAAATTTTAAAGCAATGTCAACCATTATCATGTCATCTTAATTCATGTTTTCTCTCCTTAATAATGTTTTCTTTTTATCATATTCTCTAACACTCAGCAAATTCTTGTGCCTTAGTGGCTTTATTACCTTGTTTGGGAATGAAATGATTAAGAAAAAAAAAGACGTGCATGTGTGATTTTATATATATATATATATATATATATACACACACACACACACACACATACATACATACACACAGAGATTTCATTAAAATAAGACTGACAAGATACTGTGGCTAAGATTTTATTTAATTTTTCTTGTGCTCTTATAATTTCCTTCTTTTCTGGATATAAATTATTATAATAAATAATTAATAGAAAATACATATGCATACCTACCAACTCTATCCGGAACATACTCATTGATAATACAAATAACCTCATCATGATCATCATGAAGAAAAAGCTAACACTCAGTGATATCCACTAAGAACACGGCCACATTGTGCTGACCGTGTTTGGAAAATGAAACAAATTCTGTAACTCTAGATACATACCTAAAACAATCCATACATTGTTAAAAGAATAAGTGTGTGTGTGTGTGTGTATCACACACACAATGACATTGCAAACGTAACTATACAGTAATGAAAACATTGTGCACAAAACATTGACTATACAAACAAATCAATAACATATCAACTTACTCTATACCTACTTGTGTGTGTAAGTGTATAAATGCGCACAAGCATCAATGTAACATTTTAACATTGTAAACATATATGCAAAATATAGTCAAATGGAAGTAATTCCCATTACAATTAACCAAGTGGATATGTCATACATTTCAATTCTATTAATGAGAAAAAAAAATCCTCAAGGCATTAACTTAACAATTTTCCTTTTTTTTTCCCTAATATCAACAAGTTTTAATTCTTTAATATTGTTCATATCGATTCATTTGCAAAATATAAAAATACTGTGCTTTCTTTCTATTTCCATCTTACAAAGCATGACCTTAGGCCAGTGGTTTCCAAACTTTTTTTCACTGGGTTACATTTTCGGAATAAAAATTGTGCCTCCTCAAATTTTGTGATAAAAAGTACAATTCAAAATAAAAAGAGAGAGAGAGAGGGTTAAAGGAAGATAACCATGAATTCAAAGTCAGAACATTATCATTGATTACTCTATCCTCCAATTTGAAGACCCTAGTTCCTATATTGAACACTTGATATAATGCAGAAATATCACAATGATAAAATAATGATAATTATTTATAACTATACTGGGACACACGCATGCAATTACAACTAATCCATAAGAATATTTTAAATTTTGAAATCATTTTTGGCATATCAATTTTTTTAAACTGTTTCTAGAGAATTGTCTTTCAATCATTCCACCTCACCTGCTATCCTCTTCCATTGCACATACAAGGTGCACCACATAGGTTGCAAACCATTGCCTTAGGCAAAAGAAGAGGTAAATAGAGGGGAAAAAACGGTATCATAGAATAGACTAGAAGTTACTTTACAAAGACTCCGATATTGGCATGCAACTGAGATACATGAAGGGAGCTAGTCAGGTGCTTAGCTGTGTAGTGAGTCTGTAACTAAACTTGGTCATAGGACTGGTGATGGTGAATATATTGGGTTTGGATGCAGATGCACACAACAGAAAATGTACAAAATGTTTATTGCTGGTAAATAAAAATTTCAGTTGACAAATATTTTAACCTTTAGCAGTCTACATTATTTTATAAGTATTACTTCTCCTTCCACTATATATGGTGGCTCCTCAAATACAAACTGCAGTAGCCTTGATCTCAATTTAAGTGAAGATTGTTTTTTGCTGTTGCTATAGCAGGATGTGACAACACAATCATGAAATTTAAATATACTGTTATTTGATGATTAGAGTCAACTGCAATGGCAGGACTAATGCTTTCCTTGGTGACTGAAGTTGCCTAAGGAGTGTTTAAGGTTAAAGTAAGATTTCTTTATATGTAAGTGTTGCATTGAAAATATAGCATTTACTCGAGGAAAGTCATACGTATTAGAAACTCAAAGAGAATTTTTTTATTTTTGTTTATGGGATCTCCTTCCCCAATGAATACAGCAGAGAGTGTAAAAAGAGTTTATGGTTCAAAGCTTTAGACATCAAAAGAGAGAAAAAAAAAAAAAGCAAAGAGTGAAAAGCAAAGTATTGAGGAAGACAAGATGTGAAGCAAGAGAGATTATAAAAGGACCCAGAAATACAGGTGAAAGAATATATTTAAAATATGGCAAGATAGAAAAACACAAAGGAGATAAAAAAATAAATAAATAAATGGAAAAAAAACAAAAAAACACACACACATACACAGAGCGTTAACACCATCGAGAAGAAAAACTAAGCAAAAGGTCAGTAAAAATAAAAAATAAATTAAGAATGGGAGAGAGAGAGAAGACAGAGAGAAATGGGAGAGGGAGAGAGAGAGAAGACAGAGAGAAATGGGAGAGGGAGAGAGAGAGAAGACAGAGAGAAATGGGAGAGGGAGAGAGAGAGAAGACAGAGAGAAATGGGAGAGAGAGAGAGAGAAGACAGAAATGGGAGAGAGAGAGAGAGAAGACAGAAATGGGAGAGAGAGAAATGGGAGAGAGAGAAATGGGAGAGAGAGAAATGAGAGAGAGAGAAATGGGAGAGAGAGAAGACAGAGAGAGAGAAGACAGAGAGAGAGAAGACAGAGAGAGAGAAGACAGAGAGAGAGAAGACAGAGAGAGAGAAGAGAGAGAGAGAGAAGACAGAGAGAGGGAGAGAGAAGACAGAGAAGACAGAGAGAGAAGACAGAGAGAGGGAGAGAGAAGACAGAAGAGAGAGAGAGAGAAGACAAAAAATGGGAGAGAGAGAAGAGAAAATGGGAGAGAGAGAAGACAGAGGGAGAGAGAGAAGACAGAAAAATGGGAGAGAGAGAAGACAGAAAAATGGGAGAGAGAGAAGACAGAAAAATGGGAGAGAGAGAAGACAGAAAAATGGGAGAGAGAAGACAGAAAATGGGAGAGAGAGAAGACAGAAAAAATGGGAGAGAGAGAAGACAGAAAATGGGAGAGAGAGAAGACAAAAAATGGGAGAGAGAGAAGACAAAAATGGGAGAGAGAGAAGACAAAAATGGGAGAGAGAGAAGACAAAATGGGAGAGAGAAGACAAAATGGGAGAGAGAGAAGACAAAAATGGGAGAGAGAGAAGACAAAAATGGGAGAGAGAGAAGACAAAAATGGGAGAGAGAGAAGACAAAAATGGGAGAGAGAGAAGACAAAAATGGGAGAGAGAGAAGACAAAAATGGGAGAGAGGACAAAAATGGGAGAGAGAGACAAAAAATGGGAGAGAGAGAAGGGGAGAGAGAGAAGACAAAAATGGGAGAGAGAGAAGACAAAAATGGAAGACAAAGAGAGAGACAAAAAATGGGAGAGAGAAGACAAAATGGGAGAGAGAGAAGACAAAAATGGGAGAGAGAGAAGACAAAAATGGGAGAGAGAGAAGACAAAAATGGGAGAGAAGACAAAATGGGAGAGAGAGAAGACAAAAATGGGAGAGAGAGAAGAAAAAATGGGAGAGAAGACAAAATGGGAGAGAGAGAAGACAAAAAATGGGAGAGAGAAGACAAAAAAATGGGAGAGAGAGAAGACAAAAATGGGAGAGAGAGAAGACAAAATGGGAGAGAGAGAAGACAAAAAATGGGAGAGAGAGAAGACAAAATGGGGAGAGAGAAGACAAAAATGGGAGAGAGAGAAGACAAAATGGGAGAGAGAGAAGAAAAATGGGAGAGAGAGAAGACAAAATGGAGAGAGAGAAGACAAAATGGGGAGAGAGAGAAGACAAAAATGGGAGAGAGAGAAGGGGAGAGAGAAGACAAAATGGGAGAGAGAGAAGACAAAAATGGGAGAGAGAGAGACAAAAATGGGAGAGAGAGAAGAAAAATGGGAGAGAGAAGACAAAAAATGGGAGAGAGAGAGAAGACAAAATGGGGAGAGAGAAGACAAAAATGGGAGAGAGAGAAGACAAAAATGGGAGAGAGAGAAGACAAAATGGGGAGAGAGAAGACAAAAATGGGAGAGAGAGAAGACAAAAATGGAGAGAGAGAAGACAAAAATGGGAGAGAGAGAAGACAAAAATGGGAGAGAGAGAAGACAAAAAATGGGGAGAGAGAGAAGACAAAAATGGGAGAGAGAACAAAAATGGGAGAGAGAGAGAAAAAATGGGGAGAGAGAAGACAAAATGGAGAGAGAGAAGACAAAAAATGGGGAGAGAGAGAAGACAAAAATGGGAGAGAGAGACAAAATGGGAGAGAGAGAAGACAAAAATGGGGAGAGAGAGAAGACAAAAATGAGAGAGAGAGAGAAGACAAAAATGGGAGAGAGAGAGAAGACAAAAATGGGAGGAGAGAGAGAAGACAAAATGGGGAGAGAGAGAGAAGACAAAATGGGGGAGAGAGAGAAGACAAAATGGGAGAGAGAGAGAGAAGACAAAAATGGGAGAGAGAGAGAAGACAAAAATGGGAGAGAGAGAGAAGAAAAATGGGGAGAGAGAGAGAAGACAAAAATGGGGAGAGAGAAGACAAAAATGGGAGAGAGAGAGAGAAGACAAAAATGGAGAGAGAGAGAAGACAAAATGGGAGAGAGAGAGAAGAAAAATGGGAGAGAGAGAGAGAAGAAAAATGGGGAGAGAGAGAGAAGGGGGAGAGAGAGAGAAGACAAAATGGAGAGAGAGAGAGAAGACAAAAATGGGAGAGAGAGAGAGAAGACAAAAATGGAGAGAGAGAGAGAAGACAAAAATGGGAGAGAGAGAGAGAAGACAAAAATGGGAGAGAGAGAGAGAAGACAAAAATGGGAGAGAGAGAGAGAAGACAAAAATGGGAGAGAGAGAGAGAAGACAAAAATGGGAGAGAGAGAGAGAGAAGACAAAAATGGTAGAAAGGAAGAAAGAGATTGAAAGTCAGAAATAAAGAAATTGGAAATAAACAAAAAAATGGAGGCAAAAACAAAAAAATGGAGGAAAAACAAACCCTAAAAATACAGAACTGAAATATTTGGATAAACATTTTTATCCTAAAAGGTAGGAAAGAAAGATTTTGAGAAGGTGAAAAGTTTTAATACTGAATAGAAGAAACAAGAAAAACAGAGCTTGAAAATAAATAAGGAGTGTGAAAGACTCAAATTCAAGCCATTCATTCCACAGTATTGCTGCCTTCTTCTTCACATCATCAATTGATGTACTACTTTCTCTCCTTTGACTCTACCATGACCTGCTTAAAAACTCAAGAGTAATGAAGGGGGCAGGACAGTTAAAGGAATAAACAAGAAGGCATATAAGAAGCAAACATTTTCTTTCTCAATGCTTACTACCTTCAGATATAGAATAGTAAAAGACAAATACTTCTAAAATACAAGCTTAGGATTCGCAGATAATCTTTTCAGTCACTAAATCAACTGGCTGTGAATGAAAATAGAAAATACTTGTCCAAATGACACTTACAGGAATCATGCCATGCCGTTTTCCTTTAAGACTACCAAAATGTTTCCTTAAAATTTTCATTACAATAAGAATGAAAATGATTTTGCCAAGTCATTTAAACTAAGTGTTGTTCAGGTTGTTTTAATTACAAAATTTCAGCTGATCTCTGTCTTTGCTACCATTTTTATGTTTGAGCAAAGAGAGACTTTTTTTTTTTTTTTTTTTTTTACAATGATGTTCACTTTGTATGAGGCACTCAAGGTAGAGAGTTGAACAGGCCAAGATTGTAGTGATTAGGGAGCATTCTCTTGGGAGTGGAACTTATAATGGAATATAAAGTGAATGACAGTGGTTTGCTGCAATGTGTGTAGCATGTTGGGTCTTAGCGGTAAAGGTTAGAATAGGTGAAACTAAGGAATGTAGCTTGTCTGAACACTTTCCATGGAAATAGCAATAAAGAGCAGAGGGGTTTGTGATGTTTTGTCTGTGGAAAAAGAGTTACAGGGTGGAAAATAATTCATCACCCACAAGGATACGGAGGCTTTTGAACTATCAAGGATGGGAAGTGGAGATATGGCAGCAGTCCTGCATTTTCAGTCCATCCAATTTGGCTCTTATAAAAGTATAGGACAGTAGGAGGAGTCAGGTACTTACTGAAGCAGTACAGGGAACTGACCAGCCTTTTTAGCAATGGATTGTATGTTCAAATTACACTATGGGGTTGAGTTTAAGTCCCAATAGATGCTCATGGTACAGAGCCTCCCTGAGAGAGCAATCATTCATCACTATAAGGTGAAAGTTCAGGGTTTGCTTAGTGATGATGGAATGCCACTAGTTTGGTTTTTAAGGCATTCTTTCCATGTGGATTCATTTATATTCTAAGTCCTTTCATAATGTAGCTAACCATAGCTTTCCACAATCTCCTGCCATGTGCTGCTCTAAGTTACTGTTAACTCTTTCGTCTTTGTTCTGGCAACTATTCACACAAATTGATTAAGTTGGTTACTTGTTTCCCCTGTCCAGTAAATGTTAAATTCTCCAGGTTCTCTTTCCTCATGATTTCTCTCATCTGCTCTGTTCATTGCATTAGTTCTCAACATTTGTCAGTAGAACTACATCTTCAAGTTTCTTTGTTCTCTGAAGAAATTGTCCAACATTCATTGCTATATAAGAGTATAGATATTACATAGCAGTTCATTACTTTCCTCTGTTTCTAAGAATATTTCTCTTAATACTTTGCTTAGTTTTTGAAAGCATCTTTCACTATTCCTATGTGCCTTTAGATATGTCACTTTCTGTTGTCTGTTATTAAATGTGAATTAATTTCAGGGACTGTAATGATAAAAGCAACAAAAAATATTTTCAATAGTATAAATAACTCTTGGAATGAAAATGAGTTCCCAAAATTACAAGAATTTCTTTAACTCATTTTTCCCTCCCATGTACTGAGGTGGCACATTAACTACTGCTGCCTGCTCAGGCACATGTGTTTGTTCAACACCCATAGAACCGAACAGTGATTTATGCTGCAACTTTGCTGATCAGACCTTAGTCATAGTTTGTGGATAAGATCACATAATCTGGCATGATTAACAAACAAGGCAAGTACACTCAAATCCTCAATCACAATGACATGTGACTTCATGCTAGCACAACAACTTCCAAACAGTTTCAGCTACCTAATTTCACTCATATGTTTTGGGTCAAATTCTCAGAATGGTTTTAAGGCACTTCCCAACAGTGCCACACACTGGGTCAGCTCTCAAGATGATGATCTCAGGAATGATCCTTATCAAGAAGTAGCCTGTTTTCAATTTATAATCATTTCACCCCAAACAAAGCAATAAAACCACAAAGATACAAGGGGTTCCCGAGAGTGAAAGAAACTGAGAAAATATTATTGAGGAGAACAAAAGAACAGGATAAAAAAAAAAGAATTAAAAGAAGACAGCAAATGACGATTGACATTGTATTTAAATTTTTGAAGATTGTAGTTGACAGGAAAGTGAGAGAGACTGGAAGAGAGTTCTATAAATGAAATGTAAAAAGAGAAAGAACTTACAGTTACATCAAGCTATTTCAACAGTAACATAATACCTCGGTGCCAATCTAGTATTACACTTAAATTCATAAAGTCAAGTTACCAAAGAAGAAATCTCATCAGAACAATTGCCATGAAAATATTTATAGAAATGGCACAGGGAAGCCGTGATACAGTAGTGGGAAAGTGGAACAGATGCCAGGTCAGGACTGATAGCATTGCAGATTTTTCTCTAACAAATCAACTCTAATGAGATTCAAACCTGGATCACTTGGTCAGAATAACATTCTAACCACTCAGCTATGAACCTACTCCCTGGACACCTATAACATTTGTAAATGAAGTGGTAGCATATCTAGTGAAGAGCAAGTGACTAAACTATCAATGGCTTTCAAGATCAGCTTGTTAAACATGGCTTTAAAGACAGGCAACATTCCAAATTGAAGCTTGCACATTACAGAATCAAATCCATTAAGACTGTTTTTGAAAACTATCTTTACTTTTAATGATTTCCAACAGCCATCTTAAAATGGCATTATTTTTAAATGCCTTTTTACTAAAGGGAATCATTTAACCAACAAACCAAACAAAAGCACCTACCAAAAACTCAGATTACAGATCGATACATTACAGCAAAGATTTCAATCCTGAGTGTTCCCCCATTATTGTAGTCTTATGCCAGATTTAGATAATCTTAGTAACTCCTATGTGCTATGTCTCTTCAAGACATTGGCAATCATGGCTCTCCACAATTTCCTGTCTATTGTAGCTCTTAATAAATTTTGCCTTTTTTTTTTATCTCTCCTAAACCTTGTTCTGCCATTCGTTTACACACCTCTTCTATATGCCATGTCCCTACAGGATGTTTGTGATCATGGCTCTCCACAATTTCCTGTCCTTTGTTTGAAGCTCTTAAATTTTGTCGTTTTTTTTTTTTTTAACTCTTAAACCTTGTTCCGTCATACATTTTACTCAAGCTCCTCCTCCCCCATCATGTGCCATATTCCTTCGGAATGTTGGCGATCATAGCTCTCCAATTTCCTGTTCTTTGAAGCTCTTAATAAATTTTGTCTTATTTCTCCTAAACCTTGTTCCGCCATCTATTTACTAAAGCTCACTAGGTAGGTTATCAATTGTTTCCTTGTCCCTCTCGTCTTCAATTTATCCTGTGAGTATCAGATTTACCAAGCCCTCTTTCCTCATTATGTATCCTAGAAATTTTAACTGTCTCTGCCGGATGTTAGTTATAGGTGTCCTTTTTCTTTCCATTTTCTCTAAAACATCATTGGTCACATGTTTGGTCCATGGTATTCTCAAAAGTACACTAATAATTTTGTTTTTGTATTTAAACTGGCCATGTCAGCAAGCAGTAGTTAAATGAATAAACTATTCAATTTTTCTAGTGAACTTACAATTTTTTCTTTTTATTGAAGTGTAGTTATTGTAAAGAAAGAAAACTAAAAAAAAAAAAAAAAAAAAAAAAAAATGTTCCTAGTCTTTTGAAGGTGTATTTATTAAACAGTAACCATCTGTATAAAATATCCTGAATTTCAAATTAATAGCACATTGTGAGTTGGAAATTTGAAAATGGGTCATACGGCTGATTTGAAAGATAGTGAGAAATGTTTAACAACTTCAAAACACCACCAGTAAATACAAAAATGATCAACAGGTTTCCCCTAACAGTCAAGTTCTTCATGGGTTTGATAAAGGCAAATTGAAGATTTATCTTGCCAATCTGTATCTGTATCTATATATATATATATATATATATATATATATATATATATATATATATATATATATGTGTGTGTGTGTGTGTGTGTGGACATTGAGGTCAACATCTAGCAGCAACAATGTCTCTCAATCTTTAACTGTCACCGCTGAGTCCTGACCTCAATGTCCACTTTTACATTTATAAATGCTCTATCCCTGATATTATATTGAGCACTGTAACCCATAAATGTAGAATACCTTAAAACTATTTTTATCATTCATTCATATATATATATATATATATAATAATGATAAAGTTAATTGGTAATCTATATGGATAATTCCAGGGAGGATATAAATTCTGAGAGCTCAATGTAATAAACAGAGCAAGTAACAATTAATTAACAAATCAGAGACTTCAGAAAGCCATGATAATTTTTTTATTTTGCAAAATTGATAATTCGTCAGACCTAGCAGTTTCAAAAATCCATTGTTTCAAAACCACCAGGTCTAACGAAGTGAAATCAAATTATTGATTTTGCGAAATAAAATATTATTTTCTAAAGTCTCTGATTTGTTAATCATATATATATATATATATATATATATATATATATATATATATATAATGGACACAGAGGTCAGCACCAAGTGGCAACAGTAAGGAAAGCATATATCATGCTAAGATCTTTTGAAATCTATAACAGGCAAATTTATTGTCACAGATGAAACAAAATAATTTTTGCTGATCTTCTATAACTTCACCAAGCAAACAGCTTAATAGATATCCACCAGCATGTCCATGTCGCAAACAGATGTGATGCAAGGTT